AAATAAACAGTAGAGATGTTGCCTCAAGTACCAAAAAGCATTCTGAATATCAGCTCAGTATAGTCTCAGACTGTAAACTTCTGTCACATTACTGCTCCTCCCATGCAAGCCTAGGCCACTGTACTTTTCAGACTCATCCTATTTTTTGGAGAATTCTGTGTCTACCACGATGACCACTGTTTTGAGGTACTTAGAACTGGCATTTATGCATTTATACATGCATTATATTGCATGTACACTGTACTTAGTGGTATAAGAGGAGTACTGCAAAAAACTTCTATGTTCAATCAACAGTGACAGGATATGTCACATACAGTTCATCACTCTAGAACTAACTTGTGATCCAAAAATATCTTCCCTGTGGAAAAACACCAAAGGGTACCTGACATGCTGTCGTCTTCCTCTTCTTGTTGCCTCTCCATAACCTTTGATAGAGTCACCAAAAACAGCAATTATCTACAAGAGAAAAGAGGTTTGAGCTGTCAGAAGGGATCACACACAAACAGGTATTCCAGTATCAGCTCACGCCTCTGCTGTCAATGTATCTTCTTGTAACAAAATGCCCCTGGTGAATCTAACGTGTCAAAAATAGAAGTGTTTATGAAAGAAAACAGTTTAAGGAAAACTCCTCTGTATCCCAGTCTTTTTTTTTACAGTCTCGTATTACATGTCCAAAATAAATCCTATTGATATCTTCCATTTGTACTGTTCTCTGAGACAAGGACATGTAAACTGACATTTTGTGTAAAAAGAAAAAAGAGCACACAATATTACCTCACGTCTCCTCCAAGAGAATATATTTCAAAGTTTAAAATGCAAATGCATCCCCTTCATGTTATCTAAAAAACACTACTGAATAAGAAATTCAGTAATTTTTTTTCAGATCTATAAAGTCAGAGTAGATCAACTTAGTCTTCAACTTAGTTTAAATTTGGTTAGAAAGGGAGGTTAAGTTTTACTGTGTAAGTACCAGAAAGAAGTTTTAATTCTACAAACTTGTTCCAAAGCAGTCTTCATTTTTATTCGAGCAACAACTTGTCACTTCATTTCTAGGTTATCCTGAAAGGCATCTGTGACAACCTTGTTTAAAGGATGTTTTGTCTGAAGTAGTGTTTTTTAAAATCTAGTTTCACATTGATTTTTGTTTACACCTAGCTATGATGACTGTGTGATCCCATGAGCCTGTTTTCCTGTTAGCCAAAGGAGTGCTAATTGTGCTTCAAATGAAGAATTTAAATTCCTGGGTGTCAGTGCAGTGCTTCACAGAATCACAGAAGCATAGTGAAGTGTCACAATAGAGTAAATGTGCTGAGAAAAGGCAGCAGGTTAGATCTACAGGGCTCAGTGGTACCAGTTGCCTCTCTGACCTGCAGAATTTAAGTGCTACATTTAGCAGGCACTCAGGTAAGTCCAAAGACTTTCTGTGCGGTGACACAAGCACAGTCTGAAGGGCAGACAGTATTTCCATCAGTTTTTGTACTGTCGCACACTCACTTGGCTTCTAGCAGGCTAGCTCACACATTGTGCTCAATGCCGGCACTAACTTGTCCTAATGGAGGCTCTGCTCTGGAGCTGACCCACTTCACGCCAGCTAAAAGCATCGGCAGAACTTCTAAAGCACCACATGGGTCCTCACTTAGCTTGTAATATTCCTTACACGAAGTTTTGACTTGAAGAGAGGCAGTAACTACTGAGAAACACAAACTTATGACTAAAGTTCAAAAACCAACCTCAGGGTGAGATCTGCATTTCTCCAAAGCATCTCCATAGATCTTATTTGGACTAGAAGAAGAGAATAGCTCTTTAAAAATCACATAGAACAAACCACCTGTAACGGAAACAACAGCAGATGGAATGAAAACTTATCAAACCAGACAGCATTAATGAAAAGTGTCTTCTGATGAAGAATGTAATTGAAAAAAATAACCTGTAACACCAATTCCAACCAGCACCACAATAAAATAGGTAAAGTCTCTTCCAGCTTCTTTCACTGAAATTAAACAGAAAACAACACATAAGTTACAACCTTGGATAGTAACACTTGTATTGCTTTCTTAAACAAATGCTCTTCTGTTCGTCTGTAGCTCAAATAACATTTTAGCAGAAGAAAAAATTCCAGTAATAGTTTCCATAATGCCTCACTGCTGTAAAAGAGACCACGGAAAACACGTCTTATATTGTACAGGGAATGTTTACATCTCTGTGTTAAGCCTTATTACTTTCTGTTTGCCAGATGTTTTCAAGGTCCAAAGTAGCAATTACTGCTACTTTTTGGGTACATGAGAGCTGGATTTTTAAAGAACTAATGAGGTATTGAGCACTACAGTATTCATGCTATCACCTAAACCCACAATCACTGCAATCCTTATGCAAAGAAAAAAAAGTAAAAATAAAAAAGTGAAAGCTTCTAAGTTGCACACACTGAAAAGAACTGATTTTATGAATCAGGAATCAATGGAACAATAAAAAGGGGAATATCAGATCTCTTAATATGTTAATATTAAAATACATATTAACATAATTAACAGCTGTTTGTCTGATTGGTTTTTATCTTTCAATTTTGATCTATAGTACAAGTGTCAGTATACACTGCATAATAAGTCATATGAGATTCTCTGTTTCAAAACACTTGAATACTTGGAAAGAGACTATCTCTTAGTGATAAAGTGTGCATTTCAGTGGAGTACAAGTTATGGAGGACACGTTAAGAAATATTTCTCCTGCAGTCTTCTAATCAGTTGAAGGTGTTTTTCATAAGTCATTTTAGAGTACTTAAATTATCTGAGACTAATTATGTAGTAATTACTTTTCACTGAAGTGAATGAGACCAACTAAAGTGAAGGCAATCCATAAAGAAACTACCATCACATGTAGAGAGCTTCAACAATTTAGTTAGAGGTGAACTTATTTCAACAGCCCTAAAGACAGGCTGCATGTGATAGGATTTTCTTCTGAAAAGGAAAACAAGAGGCTATTACATTTTGTGCCTGATAATTACTAAAATCAACAGGCTGTTTAGAAGTCACATAATTTTTTCCGATTGTGCAATGCATACACAGAAATGCAAGAACTGCTCCAAACAATACGACGTGAAAACAAACCGGCTTGGTGTGTTGGGACTTTTTTTTTTCTAGATACTTGATGTTTGGAATTACAAAACTTTAGCTGCAGAAGGAACCATCTCCAGCCCTTCTAAGCAGCACACAGCATCCTCCACCTTACCTTTCTGAGCCGCCGACACCAGCGTTTCCTCGTTCAGCGCCCTTTGCACGGACACATCTTTGCTATCCCCGCCAGGTTTTGCAGCTTTCAGCCCTCCCGCCCGCGTCCCGATGCTCTGGCGGGCGACCGTGAGCAGCAGCGGGGGCTGGTGCCGCCACCTCAGGCAGGAGCAGGACCCGGTGCCGGAGCCCAGGGGCGCCCACCCCCGAGTGGCGAGCAGCCAGCCCCGCCCGAGGGAGGCGGGCAGTGTCCGGGGCAGCATGCCGGGCATGGCTCCCGCCGCCCTCGCAGGGCCACGGCCGGGGCAGGCGAGCCGAGCGGAGAGTTCGTGCCGCTCGCCACCGCTCTCCCGGGGAACCCTCGTGAAAGTGCCCGGGCAGCCTCCCGCGCCGAGCGGCCGCTGCCCCAGCTCCGGAGCACACCTAGACCTTCACCGCCGGCGGCCGCTGCTGGCCGCTGCCCCGGCGGAAATGTTTGGGACGGCGGAGCAGAGAGCGGCGGGTCCTGGGAGCAGTAGTTTGAGCGGGCTCCCTCTCCCGCCCGCCGCCGGGAGCGGCTCCCAGCGAGGCCACTACAGCGCCCGCCATGCCCAGCGCCGCCACAGCCACAGCCCGCCCTCCGCGGGAGGGACCCGCGGCTCGTTTCGCGGGGTGGGCTGCTGGCGGCGCCTGTGGTGCTGCTCACCCTTTTAAAGATATATTTTCATACATGGTTTTCTTGGCTTTACACACGAATATGTGTTAAAGCGATGCAGTTGATGTTTCCACGGATGGAGATGGCTAGAGGGATCTGGATAGGCTAAATCGATAGACCGAGATCGACGGCATGAGGCTCAACAAGGTCAAGTGTCGGGTCCTGACCACAACAATCCCAGGCAGCGTTTCGGGCAGAGTGTTTGGATGTGGAAAAAGAGCTAGGGGTGGTGACCCAGAACATGCTGAACATGAGCCAGTGTGTGCCCAGGTGGCCAAAGCCAATGGCTTCCTGGCCTGTATCAAAACTTGGCATTGGTGAGGGCACACCTTGCGTTCTGTGCTCAGTTTTGACGCCCTCGATTTAAGAAGGGCATTGAGCTGCTGGAGCAGGTCCAGAGAAGGGCAACGGAGCTGGTGAAATGTGTGGAGCACAGGTCTGATGCGGAGCAGCTGAAGGAGCTGGGGATGGTTAGCCTGGAGAAAGAGGCTCAGAGGGACTTCATCACTTTGTACAAATCCCTGAAAGAAGGGCTGTGGCCAGGCAGGAGTCGGCCTCTTCTCAGACGAGAGAAAATAGCCTCGAGTTGTACCAGGGGAGGTCTTAGGCTGGACATTAGGAAGAATTTCTTCACAGAAAAGTCGATTAGACATTGGGATAGGCTGCTCAGTGGTGAAGCCACCGTCTCTCGAGATGTTTAAGGCAAGACTGGAATTGGCACTTAGTCCTATGGTCTAATTGACATGGTGGTGCTCGGCCATAGATTGGATTAAATAATCTCAGAGGCATTTTCCAACATGATTAATTCTGCGATTCTGAGGCCCGAGAGCTCCGAGCTAGCTCACTGCGGGGCAGGGAAGCAGCCAGCACGCTCACGGCGGCAGCACCACCGCTCCGCGGGATGTCAACGCTTCCGGAGCGCCCCACACGGGCCCGCTCCCGCCCCGCCTCCCCGAGCCAGCGCTGCCTCCCCCGAGGGCACCGCCTCCCTCGGGCCGCCGCCGTCCCACCCCGCCCCGGGGCGTTCCACGGGGGGTGGCAGCGCTTGTTCCTCCCCTCCCCGCCGGCGGTGCGAGGCCGCCGCTGTGGGCTTGGCGGAGCGGCCATGGCGACGGGCCGTGGCAGGTAACCATGGGCGCGCCGAGCGGGGCTCTGCCGGCCCGGGGCTGCCTGCTCGGCCCTCTTCACCTTGTCCGGGGAGGGGGGTTTGTTGTTTTCCCTCAGCTCCCAGTGCTCCTCTGGGAAACTTACTCACCTGCTCCACCGCTCTTCACTGCGAGGGCTGTGGCCATGTGCTCTCCTCTCCCTGCTCCTGGGCATGTGGACCCCTTGCAGTGGGAAAACGTTGGTATTGCCAGGTGCACAGCGGCCTGGGTTTAACAGGTTTTTTTTTTTTTTCTGCCTGGGAAGGGAAGCTTAAACATTGCTATGTCCTTCAGCTTGGAGGAGTGCTTGGTATAACGAGTGTCCACAAAGTTAGTTTTAATGGCTACTTTATGTGTGTTCAGGGTGGTTAGGCCTTTGTAATAAATAAGAGGGTTTCACTGTGGAAGATGTATTACCTTAATTATTATAGTACAGGTTCAGCTTTCAAAATTTTAAAGTATTAGTCTTAGAGACAAAGTTGAGAAAGCAGATTTTTCTGCTAACCCATTTGTACAATCTTGGGTTTCATAGCAGTTTCATTCCCCTTGCTGTTTTTTTTTCCTTTTTCCCTTTCCCCCCCCTTTTTTCCACATTTTTTTGCCTTTTTTTTTTAACCTGAAGATGGATTGGGGTAATATCCACCTTTTAAAAAGACAGACATTGTTAGCTGAGGGGAAAAAAAACCCCAAACAACCTATGTGAAAACATTATTGTAATTTTTGTTTATCCCTAGATAGGCTTTAACAGGTGGAGGAGTCAGGTTTTTTCACTGCTTAAAACTTTGTGTACATTATTTGAAACGTTACTGGAAAGACAATTGTCTGCTGACCATCTAAAAACCAAGATACGTTGCAAGTATTAGAGGGTGTGAAAGTGAAAATACTGGTCCAAAACTGAGCCCCACAGCTTGAAAGCTAATGAAAAAGCAATTGAAGGTGTTGTGCCTCTTTAAGACCATCTCAGTTGTTCCAGAAGTCTCTAAAGAGGGGGTGTAACAGTTGCCATTGACTTTTTATCTTAGGCTTATCTGTCCAAGCTGTGTCAGTGCAATGTAAAAGCATTTTATTAATGCTAATTTAAAATCTTAGCACACACAGTACTTGAAAAGTAATTTATGGATTGGGTTTGCTATTTGTTTCTTAACACCTTGAGAATATTTTTATTTTGGAAGATGTAAAAGTTCAGTGTGTTTTTTTTAATTGATACTAACAAAAACAATAGCTATTGTGTTAAAGTTTTCAAGGCATGTGTGGGCAAAATGTTTCTTTCCTCAGATAATTCTCCCTGGGGTGAGGAAGAAGGAAAGGTGGTTTAAATGAGCAAGAAGGTCTGAATACAGGCTATACAGGTTATGCTTGTCGAAGGTAGTGTGTTTTAAAATCCAGAATCCAGATTCTTATCTGAATTATTCCTGTGTCTGGAGTCTGTGAAGTTGTGTTTCTGTAGTGTAAGCCCAAACTCTTTGCTTTCAGCATGGATTCAGGGCAGAATAGCCTGGGATGTGCTGCCCTGGAACACGGAGAAGTGATAGGTCTGCAGTTGTTGAACACAACTTGTGTCTCTAAATCCCTTTAATGGCAGTTTGTTAGTGCCTCATCATCTAAGTGTTCTTGGTGGTGATACAGGAGTAAAACCCATGTTTAATCTTCAGGTTGCATTTATGATAAGACTACTTTTTTGTAGTTATTAATTCAGTTGGTCTAACATTGGTTGGCACCCAAGCTGAAATGTGCATGTCTTTTTGTTAAGCATATAACAATTTACAATTCTCAGTAAAATGTCTTGGATTTTTTTTTTTTTTTTTTACATAGCACAGTTAACAATGCAGACCAGAGTTGTTAATTTCTTTTAATTTTATTTTTCTTTGAGCATAAATCAATCTTGAATCAAGAACAGTCGGTATTAAATGTATATGGTGCCTATATTCAAAATTCAGAATAGTTCAATAGTTCAAAATTAGCTATTTTCCCCCCATATGGACTGGTTGCCTAGAAGCCCAGAGCTGGTTTGACCAGGTGTTGGAAATCTGCTGTCAACTTAAAACATCAATAATGCAGAGAATGGGGAGCTCTGCCTGCTTGGTGGCATCGGTGGGTATGAAGTGTAAGGATGTGGTTTAAGATTGAAACTCTGTCTCCGTATTTCTCTGTGGATTTTTGATAGTATTTGTTTGCAATTACGGTTTACAAAGTCCTTCCTATCAGAAAACTTGAAAAAATGCGCGAGTGGTTGGATTGTAAGAATTCGTGTTAGAAATATGCGAAGTTCCTTTATTTTCTATCCAAATTGAGATGTGGAAATGTTGCTAAATAGGTTCTTTCACCGTGGTGTGCACGAGGCCAATCCAGACACAGAGCTGAGGTGTTTGATAAATTTACAGTTATGCACATAAGAGGATGCTGGGTCACAAGTCCACAAAGCCAGCGCACCAACTATCGAAACCTTTTACTATTTTATACATTTTAGCTAAGGAAGGAATCAGTTTTCATTGGCTGCACGTTACATAATACTCTTGTTAATTAGTTTTGTATTTACTAGATTACCAATCTTCTATCGGTTAATGATTCTCTTGCTTCTCATGCTAATTAGTTTGCATGCTCAGTCTTTCCCTTTTTGGAGTCAGTGAGTTTCTTGGGTTAGTGATGGCAATCTCACACTTCTGGAAGCTGGAGCTGATTTCAGCACAGTTGCTGAGTTGGCTTTAATAGTTTCTTCCTTATCTTGGCAGTGGTTCCAGGTATCCTTGTGGCCTGTAAATTCTATATTCTTTGTGTCCACTATCAGTGGCCATCCTTCTTCCTGAGCTTTGTTAACCTCCCCCTAGGTCTGAAATCATTGAAGCATGTCAAGCCCTAAACCTTAACAAAGCAATTCTACCGACAAGTAATTTGTCTGTCTAACACCTGGACATCCCTTAGAGCTTGTTAGCTGCTGTCCATTTCACGGATTAAATACCCTTTCTTGCTTGAAAAGTATACAAATTATTTTTGAACATCAACAGTTTGTGAGGAAGTTTCAAGGTGTTGTTTTCATCTGACATTTTTTAATAGCTTAGCAAATTTGGCTGGCTCAAAAATGTCTCTGTAGAAATGTTGTGCGGGGGCCTCAGTGGAGCTTGGTTGTGGTGGCCACAGTGGTGCAGTGGTCTGAGGGTAACTGGATTCAAACTGATTTGGGGGAGCAACACTGTTCCCTTTGCCTGCTGTGAGAGATGAATCACAGGATTGACAGCTGTGAGTTCAAATCGGAATCTTCCTGATGCAGGTTATTTTAACTTGGGCATAATTGTTGAAATCGTAATGATTGCCATGTGATGTATTCCCTGCATCCTGCGTTGGTTGAAATGTTGTGTCTAGGTGTGCACAGTATGTGTGTTTCTTCATTTTGTGAATATGTGGCTCTTAACATCTTTTCCTTCTTACAAGTAGGTTAAGGACCTTTGCTGCGAGGCCTGGAGAATGTTCTGAAACTGTAAATGCTGGAATTAAAAGTCTGTATTTGACACCTCCCGTAAAACCAAAGGTGTGCATTGAGAGGTACGTCTTTATGTAAGGAGTAAGAGTGGAAGTACCCCTGTAAGCTGTCTTTTGACTGCTTGCAGTAATTATTTTCATATCTTGTAGATTTCTATGTCAAATATTCAGAGTTGAAAAGATTTGCTTTCCTAGCCTACTTTGGGATCCTATGTTCAACTTATAATGTTTTCTGGCATGGTTCTCCTTTGTGTTCTTTTCTAAGTTCATAAGGTGTATGTAGGTTTTCCAAACCGTGTACAACCTTCAGCAGCTCCTTTGCAAGTCACGGGCAATGTTGTTCCTTGAGAATAAAAATTGTTATCGTATTACTTCAATGAAAGCCAGTTCAGAATTAAACTTCATATGTTTGTTTTGGTTATTGGTTGTCATCAAGTGTATCTTAGTGTCTAGAGAGGCTGAGAATGGTGGATTTGGATGAAGGGGGAGGAATAAGTGGCTGCTGCATATTTTCTGTAAGGTAAATGTTTCTCTTCCTGTTTGACAGTGAAAGGGTACTTCAATATAATTGTGAGGTTTTTTCTCTTTGAAAATTAGTTACATTTTTATAAAAAAATTCTAAGAATATGTTACCTGAAAAAGTAATTTGTTTCCCATGTTTTATACGTTTGATAGTTTCTTGTGTAGTGATTTCTCTGTTTTGCGTTGGATGGCCAGTTCAGTAAATCTTTGCTTTCAGACTGGTGTAATAGTGAGAGGAAAAAAAAATCCTTTTAGCTTCCTTCAAAAGAGAGAGAATATGGTTATAAAAACTGTTGAAAATTCTGGATCAAGCATATTATTATTTTACCTTAAAAAGCTGCAAATTAGCTATCACTTCTAAATGATCTCTGGAATAGTGCATTAACTGCTTTGGGCTTACAGTGTATGAACTTTTTCACATAAGTGCAAGTTTTGGCATATTGCTTCTATGTCAATGCAACCAAGATTTTGAGTTTAATGCAAACATTGAGGTATTGGCATTATCATGCTATCCTTTAAAGCTCTCTGCTTCTGAAATAATGTTGTAAATCAACAAGTGTTGCAAATGACCCAGTAGTAAAAAAACAAGAGGTACAGCTGGGGTGTTGACTTTCACAGCACCTTTTATTTTCAGCGGTGATTTTGATGATCATACTCAATGCTCAAGAAAAATAGAGTATGCATGTATTTTAACCTCTGTGCAGTTATGAGGTACTGCTCGAATGGTATGAGATTCCTGTCTGTTAATGCAAAAATCACATTGGCTCATCTCCAGGATATGTTCTGCTTGTCCTGCTTAGACTGGCACCTGCAAATCAGGCAGCCTTCCAGATGCACAGAGACATTGACATTTTCACGCTATCACTTGGCTCTTACTTTGAGGTTCATATCTTTCTGTTGACCTAAATTAAAATTGCACAAGACCTCTGAGCATGTACAGTTTGAAGATTATGATGAAGTAGAACATGATATTGTGGTTAGACTACGACATTTCTCTCCTGGTGCATCCTGAGACCTGACACTGCAGTCAAAAGTGTTGTAAATGCTGGTGGCTGTAGAATAAATGTTAAAATCATGGTACGAGCAGTAAGAAATTGAGGTAGTTTCATGTCAAATATAGTTAAAATTTAATGAAAGTGCAAACCCATAACTTTTCATGTAATTGTGCTGTGCCACTTGAATATGTTGTGATTAATTATTTTAGGCAAATGCCGCATATGAGAGACTGAAATTAGAATCCAAACTTCACAGTTTAACTTTTCAGGTGATTTCCAGTTCCTCTTCAGGTGATGTTTATCTGTTTACAACCTGCTGGTTTCCACCTCTTCTATTTTTGTCTGGTTTGGAATTAATTGCAGGGCAAGTCTAACAGTATTCCTATTTCTCTTCTTTTCTAGCATGCCATCAGAAATATTGCTGAAGATATTTTCCTATTTGGATGCTGTGTCCCTATTGTCTGTTGGTTGTGTGAATAAGTGCTTCTATGAGCTGGCCAATGACAAGTAAGGAAGAGGAAGGTCTCAGTTGTGCTGCAGTTGTGTTTACCTCAATTATGAGTCTTTCTAATTTAGTTTCTCTGATGCCAGAGCACTGATGTGTGCACATATGGGCAGTTACTCTGCTGAAATTGCTCTGCATAGCCAACAGTACGTGTTGCATGGAATTCCAGCTTTGCAGGGCCTGTTGTTTAATGGGAGTTAAGAGGCAAAAACTAAATCCAGTGCTTTGAAATGTTGCTGTTAGTGTTTTCTTTTTGTTTTAATATTTTCTTATATTTATTTGTATTCACATGGACCTGCACAAAATTCTTGGTTCAGATGATCCTTAATGGTGTATTGCCAGTAGCTTTATGGAATTGTCATGGCTTCCACAATTTTGAAGTCCTATTTACTTAATTCTTTCATCAAGTTTTTGCAGAGGGATTGATTCAATCAAATTATCCACTAGTGGTTTTTATCTGTTGTTCTGTTTGTGAAGTTTTGGTGATTTCTAAATGAGAACAAAAGAAATGAAGATAAATGCTGACACTTTTTTTTATAAGGATTGCTTATATAGAGTTCATAAATTGCTCCTACCAATATCATGATAATTTTGTGAAAGGTAAAAAGGAGAGACCTGGGTTGATGTGTGATAACTAGGATCTGGGCATCATTTTCTTTCTAGGATTCTACTGCATTAGTGTTCTTTGAATGAGAAAATGTCTTCCTCTACAGGAAGTTGCTGTACCTGGTATGAATCTATTTCTCCCTTATTTACTAAAACTTGCACGGTGAATTAATTGGTTTACCTTGGCATTGATACCTTCAGAACTGATTAATTTAAAGAGAAGATCTGTAATCTAGATTTAGGTTTTGAGGCTGTCAGCAGGTAAGGGTGGATAAAAATTGCAGAATTGACAAAAATTACCAGCCTTGGTATGTGTTTTCCTCTTCAGGATGGTAAGGCAGGATAAAATCACTGTGGCTGCCCAGGAGAAGATGATTCATCTATTTCCATCTCAACGATGTCTGTTTCCATTTTCTAATCTCAACAGAGATTAGTGCACAAATGGGACTTGGGGAAGAGTTACTTTCTCTTATCTAGGAGCCTGACTGGTTCAGTGGGACCAGATAATGTTTTCCTGATGGATTTTCATGGACCTTCTCAAGACACTAAATCTTGCAGTGAATGAACAGAAGTTTTAATTGAAGTCCCTGCATATTTCTCTGGCAAATCTGACCTTGGTTTTTAGACTGAGTATCTTTCTTAGAATATTTCTGCTCTCCTGGATGTACAGGGTGCTGTCCTTGTTGCAACAGGACCATCAGTCTTTCATTGTGGCATGCCTGTACTGCCTAATGCAGTGATTTGTCTTTGGGCTGTTCATATAATGTGTGCGCTTGAACAATTCTTGGCACTGATGTCTCCCAATACAACTGTTGAAGACAAGAAAATGTTTATGACTCCTCCTTTCTGCACCCTCCTTGCCCCAGCATGGAGCATTCCAGCTTTCCTATTATCATGCAGTGTGGGAAATTTACAGATATGGTCTTCCTGCGAAAACCTGAGGGTTCTGATCACCAGCAGAATGTGCTTGTGAGAGAGGAAGTGATAGCACAGGGGAAGGTCTTTCTTGCCATTGTGGTCAAGTGATGACATGTCTGATTCTGGTATTTGAGTTAGAAGTAAAAGGTTTGTTTGGCTTGTTGTACTAATGTCCAGTAAGAGACCTTGAGATGAGTTATTAACAATTTGAGGCAAGAAGGACGTGTGTTCTGTGGAAGAGGCAAACTTATGCTTTCCTGTTGGATGCCTTTTTGATTTATCTGCCCTGAATTCTTCACAAGTTGAGGATGAAGGGGCAGTGATACCTTCCTAAACACTTGTGATTCCAAGTCCTCCTTCATCTTCTTCTCTGTCTCCCTGCCCTAGCTGAATTTTTGAGTTTGTTGAACTAATTCCTTTGCTTGCATGACACTATTTTGGGAAAGGAAGAAGCAATGTTTTACTGAGAGTGAGGATGGTAGGTATTTATCATTAGTCTATATCTTCAGTCAACTAAATGGCCTGAGTCTGCGACTTCAAAATGCAGGAAATGCCTACTGCTAAGCCCTGTGTTTTCAGCATCATACAGTAAGATGGGAGTATCTCTCCATTAAGGATGTCTGTCTTGGGAAGGGGCTTCTAGTTAACAGGAGAGTTTTATAGGAGGTTATTTTACTGGAATTTTTAGGTTGATGAAGACCAAATGGATGATACACAGTTCAAATTCCTCTGGTGATGTTATGTTAAGGGCATCTCTCCTTTTTTTCATCACTGGATGAATTCTAAACTGCTTTAGAGTTAAAAAAGAATTTTCCCCCTCCATCAGAAATGTTTTATACTATCAGGTAACTTGGCTGCCTTCTATGGTCTTAAGATAGAAGTATCATAAAACTTTTTTTTCACTTATGGGATTGTTCTTTATGTTACCCTTCCCACCCTGCTTATGGTGAAAGTAACGTTGAAAACTCGTCTTGACTGTGAACACACCTTTACCAGTCATGGTAGCCTATTGGTCTGGTGTGTTTTAGACACTTCTATCAAAAAATGGCAGTGGGGAATTCTGTATATATCTCCAGAGCAGCAGGCTGGAAGGTTTTTGCAAAATTCTGGGTATGTTTGCATCAATAACCAGAGCTTAGTTCTCAGCATGTGGGGACTTATTCTCAGCAGCTGATGAATTGAGAATGGTTTTGATGAGTAGGAGGCAGTGTGGGATGGATCTAGTCCTTGAATGCTTTAAGGAGAGGGGAAGATGCCATGCAATGCATGCTACTGTAAGTTTGCCTGAGGATAAGTGAGAACTGCTAAAGGTAATCTTGCTGATAAATGGTAGAAAATGTCTTAAGAATTTGTTGCCCTTGCTATTCGTTTTCTTTAGTGCAGTTATATACACTGTGTCTCTAGCGCTTCAAAATTAGAAAACTTATTGGCAACCTGTATTCATAGATTATTGTTTGAATTCTTGTAGGTTCCTGTACTCAATATTCTGTGAACAGCCCTAGACATACTGGGGTGTGGGGGGCTGAGATGTGACCTCATAGTTTTCCTAGTATGAAAGAGATTAACCCATCATTCCAGTCACATATTTCTTTGACTTCAGGGAGTCATGTCTTCTCTCAGCTTTTCCAAAGAGTGCAGAAGGGATTGACATGACATTGGTACCACCAAACAAAGGTGATTCTAATTGTCCTCCACCCCACTTTCAGCTGGATCTGAGAAACTTGAAGTGTACAGATTATCTTTGTTGAATAGGAGGTATTAAACCACTTTTTCTACTAGCTGATTTTCTGTGAGGAGGACACATCATTGTTTTGGGGTGGAATTTCCAGAATTGTTTTCTTAACCTTTATCGGTTTTCAGTTACATTTCTGACTATGACTGCTGTCACAGAGCTTCATCCTGGACCCCACATTTTCAAGAAGACAGACAAGATTGTTTTTGTGCTGACACCATGCTCAGTGGCAGCTGAGATGTGCATATAAAAAGATGAAGTGACTATTCTTGAAATTTATTCCTCTCTATTCCGTTTTTATTTTCAGCGGAATTTGGCTGAAACTCTATTCCAGTTCTTTTCACCCAAAATGGACAATTTGGAAAATGAAGTCGAAGCAAACAGAAACTGTTTCTTTGGGCTGTGCTGCTGTACATGATAAAGAGCCTGGGTACTGGAAGAAAGAATACATCTTCAAACAAACGTCTGCCTTCAAAACTAGAGTAATGCGACTCGTTAAATTTCTAGATCCTTATACAGGTCTTCCATGTAAAAACAAAGAAGCTATGAAGTAAGCAATGCCTTGTCACAAAGATTTACTTGAGAACAATGTACAAAATATTAATGGTTTGGGAGGGTATAGAATTAGAGGCACAAAATGTATGTCATAATGGGAAGATGCAGTGATAATATGTAAATATCTGAAACTGAGGAACATAAGTAGCAGTTAGTAGAAATTTTAAAATTCTGTTTAAAGCATAGTTTAAGTTTTATCACTTTCAGAATTTGTTTTTAAACACTCCTCTTCCCTCTCAATTCCCAAATAACAGAGTCTCTGGCTTGTGTTGGATAATTGTTCTAAAGGACAAAAATGGAAAAGAACGTGTAGTAGAGAAGCCAAACCTATCATTTAAGGACACATCTGTTACAGTACTTTGGTATGGTGCAGACTGGCCGTGCTTAGACGTCCTGTCAACCCTAAAACTGTTTGGAGTTACACCATTGCTTCCTGACCAAAGCAGACCTCATAACAAGAATGGGTGAGTTTTAACATAGGATTTTTGAGGATTTTTGGGTGCAACTGGTTGATAATGTGATCTGACATTTGTTTGACTCAGTAAGCTAACTCTTGATTAGAAAGCCTCCCTGCAGTATTTCTATGTTCTTCTCTTCTTTGGTAGAGATTTTTAGCAAGAAATAGTATAATACAGCAAGCTATAACATTAATTCATAGGCTCATGTAGCTATTGGCATGCAATATGCAGGCTGATAGGTCCTGACTTGGAAAGCTGAATCTAAGACAGAGACACAAATGAGCATGAAAGAAAAATGTAAATCTAGTAGAATTTATTGTGAGAAATTTAGCCTGGAAAAATTCATCAGTATTTACGTGGCTACAGTCAGGTAATCTATGTTGCTAAAACTTACTTTCTGTCTGGTAGGTGTGTATATGAATTTAGGGAACTGGGTGTTTAACTGTGTGTGCAGTCTTCAGTACATGCATATAAAGTCACACAGTCCACAGCATATCCCTTGTTTTTTAACTTAAATGTGTACAATGGTTTTTGTCATTATATTCTAAAAATATATTTAAATGAAAAGTGTCTATTTGAGGTATTTGGTTGCTGTCAAGGAGTTTTGCACACATTTGGGCATATGTGTATAGTAGGTACAGTGTCAGCTATGTGTTTCTTATACAAATCCCCTGGCCATAGAGCTCTGAAAAGAGAGAATTGTTCACCTACAAAACACCCGTTCCTCAACCAGAAGCAAAGTATTTACGTAAAAAAGAAAGAAATCAAGAGAAGCCTTTTGTATAAAGTTAGCCAAAGAAGTCTTGCAGTCAAATTATGTGGAAATGTACTTGTTTTGCCAAGATGATGAATGTAGAAATAAAAGAGAAAGCTTGCAGGCAGTTGATGTATTTATTTCACAGAGTTACAAGGTTTTAGAAATTGTGACTATAGATGAAGGCAGTGGTTTCACCAATTTTAGTATGTCATTGTTAAGACTATAAGGCAGTAGTGCACGGACAGGCCTGATTGACTTAAAGATGGAAAGGACTGATGTTGATTAGGAAGAAATTTTTTACTGTGAGGGTGATGTGATGCTGGTGCAGGTTGTCCAGGGAGGTTGTGGATGCCCCATCCCAGGCTGAGTTCCGTGTGGAGTTGTAGGTGATACTACAGTGATACTCTGTGGAAATCTAGAAACTGTTTTGAATATAATAAGAGCCTAAGTCTGAAAAGGATTTTAGAAATTCTTCTTTCTTTATTCTGAATAGAAGTGCTCTTTCTGCTCTTCTTTTTAATGCATCCTTAGTTAATAAGAGTGTCCATGAACTTTTATTTAGGAGTATTTTGGAGCTAAATGGCTTTAATTATAGGTAAAATATAGAAAAAAATTCTAAAAATGGAAAGCTTCCTGTAACACAAACTTTTAATTTATTATATGTACAGTTTGATCCTTTCCTTTTGCTACATTCTGTATGTTCTTTTCAAAGACCTCGTAGATTTTCCTTGATTGCTGAATACCATCTTGCTAACCTGACTGAAAGTAGCGTAACAGTTGGTGCTGATGAGCTTGTCCAGCTCTTCAGTCTGAGTCCAGGACTGTTAGTAGGAATTTGGAAGGTAAGATAACATTTTTTTCAGTATTTTATTATTATATGAAGGAAAAGTTGGGTTTTTTTGGCTTGTAGTTGGGGTTTGGGGATGGCCTTTTTTTTCAATCTTCCTTTTTTTTTTTTCCCCTTTGGATTTTGAAAAATCATGTCTAAACTAGTAACTACAAAACACATGTAGGACAGTGAGTGGATGATTTATTGTATCCTAAAGAGCTGTCACAGGAATATATATATATACTTAAATCCACTTCTAATTAAAAGATCAGTTATGTATAATTCTATATTAGATACTGTGTTCAATTTTATTTATTTTGCAGTCTTCACATGCCCAAGTTTGATATCCTATATCAAATTTTCAATAGAATGGTTTGAGAAGTGCTTCTTTGTCTGATTCATGCCATTACCTGTCCATATCACTCAAAGTGATGAGTTCCCACATAGCAACTTAACTTTAATCTGCATTACCAGGTAGCTGTATCCTGCTCCAACAGTAGGAATGCTGTAAATCACGTACTTTTGGGATATTAAATTCTTAGTATTAAGAGTCTAAGTTAAGCAGTTAGCCTCTGTAGGGTAGGTGAAGAGATTAATTCCTTAGAAGGCAGTGCAGAGCATCTGAAGTAGACTGCTGCACAAAAGGAATCTGCATCTTTGCACAGAATGTACGGGGACCTCTGTGTCTGCCTGTAGCTATGTAGGACTGGGTGCTATGGGAGCCTCATCTCAGGTGTTCTGCTCTTGATCTGAATTCAGAGGGGGCAGCCCTTTATTCCTCCCCTCAGCGGTTATTAATGTAGATTTAGGTTATTTGGCACTGGCAAGGAACTTTCCTCAGGGAGGCTGTGAGCAGCTCCTCAAAGTTGTGTCTAATTTTCCAACTGCAAGCATGCCGCCTCAAATGTGCGCAATCACCAGAGGCAATGTTTAAATCGGCAGAAGGACTATTTCTTTCACTCTTACTTAAAGAGTGAAAGTCCATTTCCTAGAAAACTTGAGACTGCCTGAACAGCATAAACCTGTTAGAGGTTGTTTCAGTTTGTGAAAAGCTCTGCTAAATGAACAGCAATTTCTCTCATATCTTCAGAAGTTTTGTAGACTGGCGTCCCTGTATTGTTGGCTCTGTGATCTTGCTTATGCATTGGCCCCATCCATGCTTGGAAAGAGAATTCTTTCAGCACATGAAAATGGTTCAATCACAGCCAAGTTCCACATGGTTGGTAGGAATTGAGTGCCCCACTCTTGTATATTTTCCCTGCTTGCTTTTCTGAACAGCAGTTCTTATTCTCTGTGTAGGCAGAGTAATACGAGGTAGTTAAGTGTCAGTGGGTGTAATAATTGTAAATGCCACACATCTTGTTTTTTTGCACATAGCTGTGTAACAGAAACCAAGGGCAGGTTACGTGGGACTCCTGGTATTTGGATAGAGAAAGACTGAGAAATTATGTGATTGATAGATCTCCCTAGTTAAATCCTTTATAGCTGTAATTTTGCACTGTAAAAATACAGGAGTAGTTAAAAAGCTAAAAGTTTGAATAAAGGATGTAATTTTCTGGTAGCCCAGAGAGATGAAAACAGTAGTTGCCCACATTTCAGGAGAGTAATAGACTTTTGGCAGTGAATAATTTTCCTATTGACTTCTGTGTTTGTAAATGTAGGATTTAAAAATGTATTTAAAGAAAAAACCCTGGTATCCTAGCATTATGTGTTCTTGAAGTAAATGCAGACCTCTAGCTAGTTTTCACATTGATGTTTTCTTTGACTATACAGGCATCCATAGAAGCTTATGTTTTTAATGTTTTCCCAGGAGTAAATAATCTGGTGAAGACACATTTTTTACTTTGAAATTCACAATTTCTATTGAATAATCCTGTATTCCTCACTGATGTTAACCTTCTTTGGAAATAGTTCCTTACATAAGAAAATAATCTTGATGCTTCACTAGTTGGGAGTAAGTGCCATTTGATTCTCTTTAGGTATCTTTTTTAAAGTGCTAAGTAGAAGCTAGGGAAGTACAGTTTTGGATTGCTCTTGTAATTTTTGCCCTGGCATAGCTAGCTTCCCTTTCTTTCCCCATAATACAGAAATGCTGCAATCTTTTATATATATTCTGTACTCTTGTGAAAAGACAGTAATGGTTTTAGGAGTCCACATGTTAAAGCAAGCCATTACTAGCATTAGTACAGTAATTGGCAGAGTAGTAAGCAGCAGCATTTATCTATGAATTTTAATGCTCAGAAAGACCTTGTGAAAAAAAGAATTTCCAAATGAAAATGCATCTGCTTTAATTAACTTTTCAGGAGAAAAGTGAAATTGCTTTTGTTATGGCGAACCTTCATTATAATCAACTTCTTGAGAGAAGCATTTTGGGTTCTGCTACTGTGTAAGTTTGGTTTTCCTTTGTGGGTAATAAAGATAACCTTTTGAATAAAGCTTTGAGTTTTACAGTTAAAATTGGCTGCTGGTAAGAGGTTTATATTTAGGCAGTAATTAACTATTCTTGTTTAATATAAACAACAGTTACAGTAACTAAAAACAAAACTGTAAAAGCATTTTCATACTAAAATATTGCCATTGTAATGCTATTTAGGAGATAATTTAGTTACACAAGTGTACTAGGACTTGGTGTATTGAGAAAGTTAGAAATACACTGCACATACTTTCCCCCTTTTCACAAGCAGTCTTCTTGTTTTCTCTTTCTATCTGAAACAGAGAGACATTTCAGGAAGTAGGGAAGTAATATTTGGCTGTGTAAGAGGGGGGGAAAGCTCTGGTAAACTGGTGAGGCGCCTGCATTTATCTTTTATTGCTATTGAGAAGGTAGCTGGTAAACTATTTAAAAATATGATTTTTTTTTTTTTTTTAGCTTTAGAATAGTATTGGGGAATTTATTTCCCACTCAGCTTTCTGGTCAGATACTGTTGTATCTACCAGTAGTCCTAAATGCCCACTATAATTTAGAGTGGCTCTCCTCAAACAGAATATAAGATTTAACACCATCTCCCTTAGTACCAAATTGGATCCTATGTGGAAGTTGCTCAATTGCCTCTGGCATGTTGTCTCTTTAGGTGTCTTGTGTGCAGTAGTTATTTAGTTAGGAACAGACAAAATTATTTCAATGTTTGGTATTTCAGAGAAGTCTCTAGAGCTAGTGGGCTTTTAGATTTCTAGTTAAACTGATGCTTTTTCTTTTTTGTAGAAAAGTCCATGTCTTGAAGTTTAATGGATGTACCTTGTAAAGTTGACTGCTGTACTTTCTGCCTTTGGCTAGGCTGAACAGCTGATCAGCAGTATTAGACACTGTATTAGCTCAAAAGAAGCATGATGAACTAGAGATGTTTGATTTTGAAAATGTCTTAAGATGAGAGTCTCAATATAGGCCTATGTATTATATCTCTATTAAGTCATGCCCCCCCTTGCTAAATTCTACTTTTTGTTTTTTTTTCAAGTCAATATGTTCCTCCACCTAATAAACCTTTACTGGATGATATTGACTCAGAATATGGACTGCATGACTACAGCCTGCATCTTGACCTGCATGGCAGAAACTGCATGTACCTCTGTAGATCATTTAAGTGCCTCTTCTGCAGAAAACGTAAAGTTGATGGAACAATAATGTCTGTTTTAAAAATGATCCCTGCTGTTACATCTTTCCTTCTTGCATCCAGTTTCTCTGTTTTAAGGGGTGAAACTGAAATGGAATTTTAAGAGTAATCTTTCTGTTCATGGTGTGGTTTCTTTATATCTGCATGGTGCTTTGTGTGGCGTCCTAAGCCTGCTCTGTAAGAAGTCTGCCTGCTGTTAAATGGGCACAGTGTCAGGCTTGGGACACAAATTCTGTAGATTTTCAGGGTCTTTTCTTTTAGTTCCATGCTCCATTAATAATGCAGTGGCACAGTTCTTGGAGCAGGTTGATGTTTCTTTCACTTGTATTTTATAAAGGAGAGACAGTTTATCCTCATACATTTTGGAAGCTTGTTTCTGTAGAATTCTCTTCGGGTATACTTTGGGTGCACAGATTAAATATATAGATATATTTGTAGAAGTTGCTGTGAACTTTAAGATTTATAGCTTTTATTTTGGTGAGTTTAAGATGCATGTTTTGACATCCTTTTACTGTGTGGTAAACAACTTCAGTTATTGTTTTTAACTGCTGCTTCATTCTGTTCTCAGCACTTCTTTCCATGAGACATGATTGACCATCCCTGTTGTTCTCATACAGTTCAAATTCATAATTGTACTGGGGTTTTGAAAAATAACTGGGTGATCTCTCTTTTGACATAACTTCAGCATAAATTCCTGCTGCTACACAGCTGTCTTTTGGTAAGCAGAGGCAGACTAAAATATTAAAATCTAACACCATCATTAATTTAATTTAGAATTAGATACTGTAAATTAATTATTGCTCCCCAGTATATTTTTTTACCTGCACTCCTGAGCGGTGTGGATTTCAGAACATACTGTTTTTCTGTCAGTAGAGGGTGCTGTTGTCAGGCGTGAGTACTTCTGCAGGGCTACAGGATTTCCCCGTGATTTGGTTTGCTTTTTCTCATTTGTGTTTGCTGATTCCAAGAACTGTCATTTAGACTGCAGCCTTGTGCGATGTGGAGCGTTGTAGTCCTTGAACCTGCAATATACATGTTTTCAGATTCCAGAAAAGCGCCAAACTTTAATTAAAGGAATACTTCTAAGGCTAAACTTTAGTGAAAGTCTATGCATGTAGTAAGAAATCTTACCTGAAGTGTTGAGCAGTAAAAGAGTCCTCTTTATGTTCTCAAAAAAAAAAAAAATCTCAAAATTGGCCAGAGGATTGGGTTTTTGGGATTTGTTGGTTTTTCTTGTTTAGCTAAAATGAAAATGTTATGCTTCTAGCAATACAGTTGCACAAGAAAAAGTATTATGTGGCACATTTCCTTTCTTAGTTTCAATTTCTTGCTGCTTAGAAGCAACTTCCACAAAAGATTAAACTGATGTTTATGCAAATTGAAGCAAATGTCCATGAGCTGCAGTTGTGATGCCATCTCGCTTTGCAAGTTAGAGAATCTATTTATGCTCACAAGTATTTTCTGAATCACTTTGGTTTTGTGACCTTCAGCTGTGTGACAGCCGCCAGATTCTGGTCTCACAGGACATCAGACAGCTGAAGCCATGGTTCTGCAGACAATAAGCTCATTTGTCATCTAGTCCCTTCTATGTGCTTGCACAATAATTCCTTTCGGAAAGTTTTGGAAAATGCTTGACTTCCTCCAAAAATGGTGTAGTGAGGCAGCATATAGCTGTCTGCTGTCACTTTTTTCATTTGTTGTTAATTTTTCTCATTCTTATTCTGTTGAACATGGTGTTGCTGAATGTGGCCCAGGTTTTCCAAACTGGTTGTGTTTGATGGTTTGTGTTTTGTTTTTAGGCTCCATTCTAGACATACTCTTTGTCCCATCATCTGGGCAGACTCTGAAGCATGGAAGTCTGCAAAATACTGGGAAGTCTTGGTATTTCTGAAAATTCTCTCCCCAGTCCAGTTTTATTTTAAATTATAGATGTGACATGCCTATGTCAGTTTCCACAACTTGAGGCACAGATCAGTTGTTAGCTATTATACTGTTGTTCCACTTACTTACTGGTTTTCATTAGGAAGATCTAGGCATTCCTAGGTTACCAGAGAATGCCCATTTGTATTTTGCAGAATAACCAATTTATTTGTTCAAGATGTAATTTTTGTCTGCTTTTTGTTAGTGTCTGTTAATATTGTGCTTCATTTTGGTAGTCTATTTTCAATTATTTTTGCTGAGTTCTTAATATTAAATTAAAAAAGGTTATGTCACACTTCATTGAACCAAGCAGGTGGAGTATATATGGCTTCGGATTTTTTTTTCTGTTATTATACTTGCATTGCAGTAAGGGGTTTAACATTATATTTTATGCTCCCTTTCATGTAAACAGAATTGGTAATATGGCCTCATTGACAGATATTTAGGGTGAATATGTTAAATACTTTGTAACTGAATTGAAAATACTTAGAAAACTTTCCTTGTATTCAGGAAATTATGAAAGGCTTTTCATATGACTCCCAGGAGACATGAATCCAGCTTCTTAATAAATATTTTTGAAATGTGTTTACCTAGGTTTTCAACTTTTTAAGCACAGCTTTGTAGCCACATGGTAGTTTAAGCTTTTGCTTTTCAATGTCATTTCTTGTTGATGTAAACTGATGTGTTTTGCTTGGAAAATGTAGGGGTTGATTTTTGTGTATTTAGAGAGCTTTTAAGATTTGTTTGTGAAATTTCATATCAGGCATTTGAAATGTTTTGCTTGACCTTGAAGATTGATTTGGAAGTTTAAATAACAATTTCAGTGTGGTAAGGCTGGTTGTTGGCACCAGAATTAGTGTTAAGCACAGCTTTTCCTCTTAAAATACCAATCAAATGACAACTTGCAACAAAGGCTTGGTTAGCAAAACAAACTTCCTTGGCTTTTAGCTGAAATAAGTCCTTTGGAACTATTGGTCTATTTGTTTCTTTCCCCTGAGGTCTGTCTACATGATATATATTCTCTTTCTTAGTTTTACCTTTATTTAGAAATATTTGTTCCCTATAACTTACTCTGCTGCTTTGCTGCTATACGTGCCTTGCATAAAGCAAGGACTACAGATATTATATGGGGACAATGAAACAAAGTCTGGATCAGGCTGCCCAATTTGCTTCCTCTGTGTTTTGCTTCGTATGTTTAACATAACTTGTTCTGCCCTTTAATTTCATTTTCTCATCTGACTGGGGTGAGGAAGGGGAGATTTCAGTGCTTAGCCTGCAGTTTCTTGCTTGTTTCTAGGCAGACTTTTCCTTCCTTCTGAATGTGAGGACTGCAATGGAGCTTTTATATAAAAAACCCCATATAAAGACTGAACTAACCAGCCCATGAATAATTGGCCTTCAGATTCCTGATCTGTTGCCTATTTCCATTCTGGCTAAAGTTAAGAAGTAACTGCAACACATCTTAGCCAACTGATCTGTCTAGCAATGGTCTATTAATGCCATGCAATAGTGATGTCCTGGGCTTCATTAATTTATTAGCAGAAAGCTTTTTTTTCCAATCCATTTTTCTTCCATTCAAACTTCATTTGATTTGAATGAGTAAGAGCATGAGCCACTTCCATTCACATTGGAATTGTGGATAACATAATAGTCATTTTGGAGAAATGCTTATTAACTGATGTTTTCAGGTCTCTTGCATAAAAGCTCAACTTTAAATGTGGACTTTCAGTGGTTAGACAGTATACTATTTAAATAAGATATTTTTACCATAATTGAAATTTTGTCATAGAATTTGGTTTACTGAGGTTTTGAAACTGAACCATTTAGGACAGGTATTAACTTAATGGCCCTTATCTACTTTGAGCTGGATCCTGGAAATGCATTTTGCTTACATTTTCCTCACTGATTTCTTTTGCACTTCACTGCAAGGACAGTGGGTATCATGGTGTGGAGGATTGCATTTTCCTTCAACCATACAAAATATTTCCTGGGTAGTCATGTTGGTTTCACTGTATTCACACTCCTGTTCCAGCCAATGTCTGTATTAAAAAACCTGCAACCGCTGTTCTCTGTCATGTGCTGGTCTGCTTCCTCCCCAGAGTAAGTATTCTTTGTATAGTATATCCCCACTGGTGAGTGATGCCTTTCCAGCATTGTTTTGTGGTCAGCTGTATCTTGGGAGTTGCTTGGCTCTACAGTGCCAATTTAGAGAAGTTTTTGGCCTCTGTGCTCAAATGTGATCTTGCTTTCTCCATCACTGCCTCCAGCTATCTGCTTCAAGCAGCCACCAAGCAGAGGTTTTGCTGCCTCTGCATGCTGGATGCAAGCATTTAACTCACAGACAGCTTTTCTGATGTTGCTTCTTCTGTCTGTAGCCTTATGCTGCTACTTGGGCTTGAGAATCACAGCAAAACACCAAAACACTTATATTTTTTCACTCTTGTCACTTGCATCTTAAACCTCTGCAAGCCCCTTCACTTGTTACCTTACCATTCAGGACCTGCTACTGGATCCTGACAAGCATTATGTTCCTGGGAATTGCTTCTCTCCCTTCCCATCTGTCTCCTGCAAGTGCTAGGTACTTTCTTTTTTGCACTGAGGTCTCTAGTGCTTTTGTTTTGCTTTTTTGAGAGAGTATCTCTTGTTCAAGGAAACTTGTTTGAGGGATGTCCTACCAAGAAATCTGCTTGTGTCATGATATGATGCTATTATTTTTGCTTTCCTTTGAAGTCAGATTGTGTTCACTATGATGTTCCCCAAGTTATAGTTAGACTGTTGGACTCCTTGGTTAACTTTCCTTCTCTGATAGCAAAGGAAAAAAACAATAAAAAAAAAATCTCTTCTGAGAGGAGAGGAAGAGATACCCAAGATATATGGTTATATGTAGTAATAAAAAAATCACAAATCATAATTCTGAAAAAAACCCAAAAAACCAAACCCAGAGGCCTTGGAAGGCCGTTTAAAAAATGAAAAAATCCATAATTTAAAAACTTGATTCAAATCAAATTGTGCTACATGTCAGTTTAAATGATGCAGTATCCTTTCTAAGGAGGAATAGTTATCTGTATACCCTTTGCATTGAGTTGAGTTTCCAGTCAGAGCTGAGAGATTTAAATAGCTTAAAAAAATAGTTGGGGGAGGTATCTCATAATTTTATTTTTTGTGTTAGTGTTGAGCTTGACTTCTGGGCAGTGGACAGTGATGGAGGCACTGGTGGCATGAAATTGAAATATTGAATGTGAAATTTACTCCATGCATCCTTGTGTAAGTTCTTTAGGTGGCATTCCTATTTTTATACTAAAAAATACAAAAGAATTTTTAGCTGCTGTTTCTACTGTGGCTCACATATTTGAAGTTCTGAACTGCAACTTAATTCCTCTATAATGTGCTTGATATTTAGCTGTTGGTGTATGCCAGGGTTTCTTACTGGTGAGTGGGAAGAAAAAGACATGGAAAGAAGATAAGAGAACATTTACAGTGTCCTTGGGCTGAATTTGATTTATACTGCTGTAATGTTGTATATTGTTTATATTTTCAGGTGACATTGAAAATGGATACCTGAGGCTCAGAGTTGTAAACTTAAAGGATAATAGGAAGCACTTTCCTATTATTGGGACACTTGGCATATGCTGGGAAACAGATGTGTTTAAAGGCAATGTAAAGGTCAGAAATACTTTTTGTTTCTGGAAATGCTTACCTCTAAACAGAATTATGTTTGTGCATCCTAAAAATGCTAATTTTTAAACAATTCTTGATTTGTGGAAAGTGTCTTTAACTAGGCAAAAATCTCTATTCCAATATTCGAGAAAATATGTGAATTTTGAGGAAAAGTGTTTTCTCCTTTCTCTCAGAGAGTCTGGATTGCATGATAGATCCATTATGCATGTGTAATTACTCCAGTGCTTTCCACTCAGCAAAGGTGCTGTGTGACCAGTGAGAAAAGCTGGACAAAAAAATGTACTGCAGATGGACTTTTTGTGGGGTATTTTTGTTTGGGTTTTTTTGTTGTTGTTGTTTGTTTGTTTTTTGTTTTGATTTTTTGGTTGCTTGGTTGAGGTGCTTTTGCAAGCAGTAAGTCTTGAACATGTGGGGAAATACTCTGCAGTTCTGTGCTGTATATGCAGTGAAAGTTAGGAACTGATGAGGAATGTTAAAATGCCAGTGGATACAGGCAGAAACTACAGTCCACATCCACACAGTTAGCACCCAGCTCCAATCAGGTACATCAGTCAGCTGGATTAACTCTTTGTTTTTTAGAGGAATGCTCATACATTCTATTGGATAAAATTCCTAAATGAATTATTTCGAACAAAGTTTCAGAGTAGTTCTGTAGCTTTTGCAATAGTGGTGAAGGCACGTATTTTTAAATGAATTTTATCAGCATGAGTGTTTTAGAAGTCGTGAAAATTCTGATGAATGTAAGTTTGAGCACTACTGAAAAGTCATATAATTCAACACTTGATTTCAATTTTGGCACTTCTTTTGGAAAAAAATCTCAAAATTAATAAAACTGTGGTTTCTGCCAATTCTGTATAAATATAGAATGGAATACCATATGTATGAATGTTTGATAAGATGAGACTCTTTTACCAAGGCATATAGTGACACAACAAGGAACAATGTTTTTAAACTGAAAGAGGGGAGATTTGAATTGGACATTGGGGAAAAAAAAGGCAAAAAAATGGCAAAAAAATTCTTTCTCCATGCTGAACATGGTGAGGTAGGGGAGTTGGAATTAGGTTACATGTAAAGGTCCCTTCTAACCCACACCATTCTGTGATTCTATAGGATTAACAACTGCTTGGCAGATTCTTTTTTTCATGAAAATAATCCTGAGTAGTACATAAGAATTTACAAAGTTATCTGTCAGAGGAAACAGAGAGCTACATCTGTAGTCTTTAGTTTTTCAGCTTTAGTCTCTCTCCTGTGTGCTTACAGCACAAAATATATTGAATAAAGAATACAATATTTTTTAAGCCCTTCATTTTGTAGTGACAGATGGAACATGTCAGTCTATAGCTGTGAGTTGAATTCAGTGTGGTTTTTACCATAAGTCTCTAAAATTCTGAAAACATGTGAAGGCCACAGAAGTAGGACGTTGCACTACTTTGAATTTACTTGAATTTTATTTAATACTCTAAGGAAAATCAAAAGTGCTTTCTTGGCACTTCTGTGTTTTTTTAAATAAAAAAATTAATTGCTGACGTACAGATAGTTGGAAATTGTCGTGACTTAGGAATGTTATTCTCCAATTTAGTGTTCTTACTGTAACCACTCCAAATCACACTCTGCTGGCTTGCTTTCCCCTTCTTCTCCCTGTGTTGGGCTGGAGAGGAGAACTGGAGGCACAAAAAGTAAAGATCAGGGTTGAGATAAGAGCTTAAGAGTTTATTTGAGACAGCAATGAGATAAGAATATGGAGCAATATTATTGCAGCAACAATATTAATAATAAGAATGTACAAGAGAGGGGAGCGATTGACATGCAAGCGCTCACCATGGAGCACCACCTGACCATGCCACAATACCCCAACCACCGAGAAGAAAGCCTTTTCCTTGCCCCTGGAAATGAAGTGGTGTAGAGCAACCTCCCTGTCTTAGCCATGATCCCTTCTGGCTACTGCAAAAATTAACCTGATCCTGACCAGAACCAGCACAGGAATGCATGGGAAGACCCCACCATCTCACCACCCAACACCACCCCGCTTTACTTTTCATCATTGGCCTTTTATATGCAAGTTGTCAGACCAGAAAAATAGTAATTCTTTCTTGTTTCCAGTGATTCTGTAGCTCATATAAGTTATTACAGCATCATTAGGTTTGATTTGAATTTTGTATTTTCAGCGTAGTCTACAGTAAAAAGCTTAGGGAAACTGTGTGTATCATATTGCCTCATGTTTGTGCCATCTGCCCTTGTGTTGTTTGATTGAAGTAAAGGAATAGTGAAAGCAATATTAGAGCAACAGAAGCACAACCATGTAGTACAGAGAAATAAAGCATTCCAAATGAATTTTTTTGGCATAGAATTTGTGGTGTTGGTTTATTTATGCTTTTGGAGCACAGATACAACACAATTAAGATAATTTGATTCATTTAGTGATTCAGAACTCATGAGAATAAGGAACAGCTGATACTAACAGCGACACACAACTCTTATGCTTCCAAGGGATATGTGAAACTATCAATTTGCAAAAACCAAAGAATTGGCATTAACATTTTTAAATTATCTAATTGTGTAATCTTGTAAAGAAATATTTTAAAGAATTTGTAAGAGGAGGAATTACATCAGGATTATTAATATTACCTGTTAGGGAACTGAAGCTATGAGCCTTTTAAAAAGTACTGTATGCAGCTGGCTTGGAAGGGTAATTGTGTGTGCACTGCCTGGGTGGTGGTCCCTGAGTATCACTGCAAACATTGCTGCATTCACACAAGTTTAGCAGCTGACTTGAAACTTAAGTTGCTTTCACATATTGAAGGGACTGTCATTATTTGAATCATAAAGTAACTAATAATTGAGAAAAAACAGATGTTAAGGGCTTAAAAATGTTCAAGAAAAAATGTTTGATTTGGTTTTGCAGTGGTACCTTCTGTAGCACAGCATTTGATGTTTATAGGTTACAATTTTGATTTTTGTAGGAAACCTCTTAAGTATTTGTTGCAGTAGGTCAGTGAAGCACTATCAATTTTATTTGGAGGTTTTAGCCTTTGTACAAAACTCTCTGAACCCTTGATATTTCTTCTAAAATCAGAGGCAGATCTACTTACTGTGCCATGACACAGGGAAATAATCTCTTCTACTTGTGTTTGTAGGACTGCTTTGTGATGGATCTGACTCTCTTGGATGAAACTGGAAAGCCTTTCTGGTGTTTTAGTGCTCCAGTCCGCATGGAATTGTCTTCTGAGTCATCTGGCCTTTATGACTACATGGGTCATATCTATACTGCAGACTATTCAGATTCAGAGGGTAAAGTCTGTCTTGAGTTTGTATGGTTGGAAGAAACCAAGGAATATATTATAGTCAGTTTGGTGCTTTATGTAAGCACCAAGAAGGTAAATAGCTGGTATGGAACAAACTACTGACTTAATTAGGTCACTAATTTCCTTGCTTTAAAAACCAAACAAACAACCCTCCCACAACAAGAAACGCAATAAACCATTTATGCTTAAGATTGACACGAACAAGTAAGACTGTTCCTGCAAGTTTTCCAGTAACAAGTGCAGTTGCCTAATTTTTTTTAATAGGCAATTGAGAGGTTGAAGAGACATGTTGATAAAAAAAGTGAGATGTTTTCTTTTCTGTTGAATATTACATGGTCACACTGTTTCTCACTGGCTATATTGAAATTATTTTTAGGAGGAATTTTCTGTATAGAGACTTGTTACTATGGTTAAGGAATTGCTTCTTTTGAGAGCCATACTGTGAAGATGCCTTACCTTACATAAGCTACACTGGTTTTGACAACATTGACTTTTATGTTTAGTAATAAAACAGCATGGGTGCTGTTTCCTCCAGGTTTGTTGGAGTGTTATTGGTAAATGACAGGTTTTGTTAAATACTTTTTCCAGAAAAACTTCACTTAAATATATTTTAGTAGAAGATTGAAAGGGTAGATGGGAAGTCAGATCTGAAAAATATGTCAAGGCATTTGTTAAGAAAGTCATATGTAAAATCTGTTTATGACATTTCTTTAAATTCTTGTTTGTTCTGTTTTCCCATGTTCTAACCTTGTCTGATTTGAGCCTAGATACTTGCCTTACATATTGACCTAGGAAAAAGTGTCCCAATTACCAGCCAACCTGAGCTGATATCTGTTCTTACTGAATGTATTCAGTTGTTTCAGAAACAATGCATATCTGATACTGTTTATCTAACAATATGAATCCATATAAAAACTGAATAGATGTGCCTGATCTTTCCAGTTCCTGGAGTAACTTTAGAATCAATTTTTCTACTTCCTGTATAAAAAAAAGAAAAATTAAAAAAATTACATGATATTGTGAGTCCAGTGTCATTACCTAGCAAGGACAATTATGTGGTTGACTGCTCTGACTTTATTATGGTAGTGATTTCCTTAAAAATAAATTCTCTCTTAATTTGTTTACGTACATTAATTGGTTTGTGCAAACAATATTCATATATAAGCACCTCTATGCTACAGAGGTAGATAAATATTACAGCCAGAGAGTTGTTTCTTAATTTAACTTTCAAAGACAACGAGCTGAGGCTCGTTCTAGTTCACCTTGTTAACCTTACCTAAAGAAGCAGTGGAGATGTTTCTGCATTTGGTCGTTAGCCAAACTAGCAAGAATGATCAGCTGCATTTTGTCTTCTTTCTTACTGACTGCTGATGGGTACAGGAATCCCTTGAAGTGATATAAAGGTGTTAACATGTGGACTGGGTGTGATGAATGCCAGAACAACAGACACTGAAAGTGATCTGCACAGACAAGTGGCCAGTCTAGATTTTTGTTTTTGCCAAAATTTAGTCTTTGAGATACCAGCTTTAATAAGGAAGGGGTAGCTCAGTCCCAAAGTTGTCTTCATCATTGGCCTTACTACTAAGCTTGTAAACAAAAATGTAGAAATATTCCGTCTACATTGTTCCTTTGAAATCTGCAAGAATGGTCTCTTCCCTGCTGTGAAGCTACCAAAGGCAGTGGGCACCCAGCCACCATCAAATTCTATCACTGTTCATTCTAGCTGAATTTTTATTGTGTTTCCAATATTTCTGGGTTTAGGGCTTTTTAAATAAAAGTAAAGTAATTCCTTTCATAAGCAGCTTCAATTTCTAATGTGTTTGATTATTTTATACAATTGAATGTTTTATAGAAAATTCTGGTGTCACTGTTGGAAGTGAAACAAGAGTATGCTGTCCCTGCCCCGACAGGCTAATCTAGTAGGCTGAAAGTTTACTAACTGAATTGATTAAGATGAGAGTAAGTCTTTAGCAGCACTGTCAAACTAAAAGGTGAGACAAGGCAGATGTCGGGGGTTGGTTTTTCCTTTCCTCTCTGCCTGTGGAATTTTTTCCCATAGACATGCTAAGGAGCACTCGTGGCTAGGTCCTTGAGAAAGGAGGGAGGGAGAGCCTCCCTGCTTTTTGGGAGTTTCTCTTGGAGAGAGGGCGGGGGAGCGAGGGGGAGGGAAGCGGGGGGAACACTGCAAGATTCAGTGCAGGTAAAGGAGGGTGGGAGGCAGTTGCTGGCTTGCTCGCTTTTGGTTTCAGAGGAGAAATGTTGTTGCTACATCCCCCACCATCCCAATGCCAGGAGCTGCCTCTTCTGGTGTTGGAGCCCGCACCCCTGTTCAGACTCTCTTCTGCTTCAGTTTGCCATCTCCAAGCATCCTGTTGCAGCACCAGAACCGACACTCCAAGGATGAGTGAGCAGGGTCTCTCCTCCACCCTTCCCATCCGGGACACAGCCACCATCACCCCCAGCACTCCTGCAGCCACACAGGATCGTCGCATCTGCCCCTGCCCACCGGGAACCTGCCAGAGCTCACTGCTAGCGGTGATGGTAACTGCATCAGAGGGGAAAAGTGCCCCCAACCAAAAGAACTGTGGCTGGGTTCCTATTCTGTTTGTTAATTTCATAGTTGTTGTTTTGTTTTGCCTTGTTATATATATATAAGTAAAGAATTGTTATTTCTATCCCCATATCTTTGCCTAAGAGCCCCTTAATTTCAAAATTACACTAATTCAGGGAGGGATTACTTTGTCCATTTCAAGGGAAGGCCCTGCTTTCCCTAGCACACCTGTCTTTTCAAACCAGGACAGCAGAACAGTTTCCTCAGGTTATTGCTGGCTTACCTCTGCTGTTAATAAACAACGTGTATTCAGCAAACCCAAGCAAACTCTTCCAAGATCTTAAAAAGTGGACCCAACAGTTGCAGAGCCGTTCTCCTGTATTTTCACTGGCTATAACTATGTCCTTTCTGAAGATATGAAGGATGTGTCCTGAAACAGGCCTCAGATCCACCTAAAGTTGATTTTGTATTTGTCACTCCTTTGATTTCAGCTGACAGTTGCTTTTAAATTGCACAACAGACGTAAATTTACTAGTTACCACCTGTATGATCAAAGCTGGTAAGTTACATATGCGTTAACTCAAGCTTCCATTTTTTCATCTTGCATCTTCCTTTCTTTATATAGGTAAGGACATACACTGAACCTCCACAAAGGAAAGAGTTTACATTAGGTAAACTGTGAGGTTTTTGAGCCTCTGTGAGGGTAATAATTCCTCACACGGGGCACCAAATGTGAGGTTTCAGAAGGACGTCCAGGTGCCTCCTGTGCTCCCACACTGTCGGGCTACTTCTTCTTTTATGTAAAAAGCAAAGCGGCTAATAGTTGCTGTAAAGTTATTTATTGCAGAAGCACATCAGTCTCAAAAGCAAATACAAAGCAAGGCAAAGCAATGGCTAAAGCAATGCCAAAGCTGCAGTGGCAAAATGCAATGGCATAAAGCCATGGCATAGAGCCCCCACTCTCTCTGATGCATGTTCTTTTATAGAAACTTTCCATCTAGCTGAGACACAAACTCAGACCACTACTTCTTAACCTATTAGAATTCTGGTTTCTTAGCACGCCAGGCTACGTATAGACTATGTTCATGGCCTATCTTGTTCTAACTGAAAAATGTTAGCAATATTCTTAACTCTATTATGTCTGAAGGTAGGTTCTTGGAGCCTCTAAGAAAACACTAGCATGTTTTTCAACCTTCACTAGAACATGTACTACTTCTCAGGCATCTGAGACCTTTTGCTTACTAAAAGCACTTAAAACTTATTCCATTTACTTACTTATTTTCTCTCACTTATGTTAAAACTTAAATCTTCACTTCTGCCTTATAGGTGAGAGGCCTAATATACTTCAATCCATCTAAAGGTTTCAACTCAATCCCTGCATTCTGATCTCTCCCTGAAGGATTCAGAGAAACTCCTGACTTACTGACTCCAACAGTAAACTGCACTGGTCCATTTCATGAAAGAAAGCATCTGTTCCAAAAACTGATGCTTTGATAAAATCATCATCTAGTCGTCTAAGTCCCCTTCTATATACCTAGTGGGTGGTAGAGCGAGTTGCATGTACTACTCTACAGTAAAAGATTCTTGTTCTATAAAAGACAATTATTAGAAGAGGAAAGATGGAGGCACCAGTTGAAACCTGGTCATATCACAACTGGTAACGACAATAAGCCTTACAGCACATTTTTCCTCTAATGCCTTAGGATTTCTTGCAGCTTTTAATAATTTTGAGTTACGTACTGAAGCTAGAGCAATACGTTTGCTGTCATTTTATCCTTTGTACAAGTAGAAAGACAATTTCTGTGAGAGGAAGTATATACACTTGTAAGTTAAAGACTTGTATTTATGCACTTCAGGTACCAACTCATCCAATTAAGAACAGAGCAGCCCCTACCAACTTCTAAATGTGTAAGTTTAAGTGCTCTGCAACAGACAGAACTCTGATATTTTTAGAGGGTGATTTACATGGTACGGAAGCATAAAAACAGTACTTATGTTTCTTTTAGTGCAAATATAATAGTGCTCATTTAACTTAATTAGTTTAAATTGCATTGAAAAGGAATCAGCGTGAAAGGGCTTTCATGAGATTATTGTAACAGTAGAGGAGTTGTCGTCTAATAGAAGTACACTAAATGTTAATACTGCCATTTATCCTTGTTTTGTCAGACATCTGCTGTGTACCTAAATGCTTCTGTATTCTGTGTTCTTTGTTTTTCTAAAATTATTGTAGGAGGTATTTTTAAAGGTAAAATGTCTTCAATGAGCGATTTGTTAATATTTTTGGGCCTTTAATGTGATCTTCCATTGATACAAGCTGGAACTGTTGGTTTATATAATCTGAACAATTGTCTTTAATTTTAACAGTGTGACTCTGGAATCATGGCTCTTTCCTGCAGTTGGCTTACTGTAGTGGGAAGCTAATAGCAGCTATATATTCTGAAGTCTTTGTAGCGTAGGCAAGTAATTGCAGTATTTTTCTTCCAACTGGCCTTCCAGTTGCTTTGGCTTTTCTTCCTTTCTTTTTGCAATTGCTTTTCTAATGCATTTCAGTTCCACTGTGCTTTTTGGTACCTGTGATTTAATATGGAAAGCAATTGTATGGTGGATAGTCTCATTGACTTTGCTTTTCCCTGCCTAGCCACTCTCCCTGTTTAGCAAGTATGTTTTGATTTTCATTGATCCACTAGGTGTTTAGGTATGGTCTTTGTTGAAACTGTTTTCATTGTCATGTGCTTGCTTTTTGAGATAAGGACTATCTTCCTTTTTTTTCCTTTCCTCTTTTTTTCCCTTCCAGGTACCTGGCTACCTGATACTGGGGATTGAGTGCTTAGCAGAAATATATGAATAGGATACCATCAACTGAAACTGATTAATTCTGTTTCAGATTAAGAATCTAGGCAAGTGATTGAGTTTTATATGTTAGGTATATCTGAATGATTTACTGCCTGGCAACAGTTATATAGTAGCCTACCTTGTATTTACCAGACTGTTCAATGTATTCAAACAACTAGAAGGAGATTTAGGTAAAAGCATTTGCTCTTCTGCCTTTGTTGCATATTACTATGACTCAGCTGATCTGCTCTGTCTAACTGAGTTGGGATAACTGAATCTGAGCTTAGACATAACTGCATTAGAAACTGTACAGAAAAAAATGGTGTTTCAAGCAGTTGAGAACAAGTGATGGGTTTTAATCTCTGTTTGTGTGTAGTGAGTTGGAAGGACAGTAGTATGAAAAGTGAAATCCTGTTTCTTGCATCCATCATATATCAGAGGGGGAAATGATGGCAACAAGGATAACTAGGGAGTTGAGTGTGGTGAGGAATTTATCATTCTGAATGTCAAAGCACTGCTTATTCTTTCTCAGACTCTTAAATGGCTTAATTTTTTTTCATGCTGTGCCTCTAAAAACGTTAGTGAAAAAGGAGCAACGACACTTTATGTTAATGCCGCTTCAGTTGTAGAAGGTTTTATAATGAAGTTGAAAACTGTAAGGCTTTGAAATGTATTGAATAAAACTAAAATTGGAGTTATTCTTTCTGGTTTTAAGTTGTTGATCTCCGTTTGAAGAGAGATGAAC